ATTCCTCTGATGAGGGATCTAGCAGCCATCGTTTCCATCCTCATCAACCACCACCCAGACCACCCCTTGAGCAACCTGATGAAATCTTGTTTTCTCTTCCCAAAGTAAAGTTCCCCTCTTTGATGGCATTGATACTAGAAGTTGGATCACGAAAGTTGAGTTGTATTTCCACTTACACCACACCCCTCCCATCAAAAACTATATCTCTCTCAGATGTACATGGATGGACTCGCACTCCATTGGTATACTAACCTTCTTATCAAACACCCCACTACAACTTGGGATCAATTTTGCACCAAATTGCTTAACTGATTCAGTGGTACTTGCTTCAGAAATTCCCATGAGGCTGTCGGTTTACTTGTTCAAGAAGAAAGGGTAGAGGAATACATATCAAAATTTGAAGCTCTTACCGCCCTTATTCTCGATCAATCAAAAGAACAATCTATTGGATGGTTTCTTCATGGATTGAAGCCAGAAATCGGAAATTGGGTCCAAACACTTAACCTATCTACATGTGACCAAGCAATGGAGTTCTCCAACAATGTCGAAATGGCGATGGGATTGTACAACGGGAAGACGACCTCCAAAGTCCATTCGACCCCTTCCACAGTCGTTCTCCCTACCACAGGTACCGATTCACGACCCACTCGCACACTACGCTCCGTTACTCACTTTACTTTGAAGCCCAATTTGATTATTGGGCCACCTTTTACCCCTTATCCAATTAAAACCCTACCCACAAATCAGAGCCCCAGAACCTGACATTTATCCAAGCAGGAATGGGAGGACTGCAGAAAAAAGGGTCTGTGTTTTAACTGCGGATTAAAATACACGCTACAACACAAATGTGCAGAGGGGTATGCGCGTTCTTCTTCTTATCGATGACGACGAGTTAGATGATACCGGCGACCCACCCGATTCCACCACTATCACCAAAGGAGAATGTTTGTCTCTAGAATCTTGGGGTTTTAGTCCCAACCCTATTCCAACTCTTACCACCATCAAATTATATGGCCAAATCCGCGGTTTACCTGCTCTTATCCTCATCGATAGTGGTGCCTCTAATAATATTATATCCCGCAAGCTCGCAAAATTTCTTGGTCTCTCTATTCACCCCATTCCCAAGATTGGAATTAAACCTGGGGATGATCGATGGATATGGATGTGGGAACAATGTAGTGGAATTTCTATTAAGTGGGGCTCGTTCTCCCGTGTCATCGACATACAACTAGAAATTCTATAACATATAACAACAAACATTTGTCAATCAAAAATGTGAAAGCATGCTTATTTAATAACAATAAATTTTCATGTGAAAGCATGCTTATTTAATAACAATAAATTTTCCATGAAACGCTCTATGCAAACACATCAAATAATCAATAAAGAATTAGAAACCCTACAAATCCCGGATTAAGTTCATTATAATCTTGGATTTTCTTATTGGGCCTAATGGATCAGTAAACTTCCAATTTGATTATTTTGGGTTTAGAATTCTTAAATGGGCTCTAATTAGATCCACTTTCATTTATTTTAACATGTTTTGCCATATTGGGCCTTTAATAAAATAAAATATCCTAATGGACCTTATTGGACCATAACTAACCTAATTAGCCCTAATGGACCATAAAAACTCATACTTGATGAATATTAGGTCGTGAATTTCTCAAAAAAGGATAATGGGTCGAAAATCATCAAAATGGGCCCATAATATGGACTTAAGTACCAAAGGCCCAAATCCTTCTTCTTTCTTCCCTTTTTCTCAGCCCAAGAGGAAAAAAAAAGGTTGACTTTTATGTACCACCTTTCTATTATACACCAAATAAACATGCATGGTCCAACATACATCCAAGACCAATCTCATGTTCCCATGCACTCATCTCTCTCTTCCTCACTCTCCTCTTATTTCGGCCGAGACCATCACACACACACACCCACACTCTTCCAAACTCTCTCAAACACTCACAAGAACACTCTACATTTCCTCTCTAATTTTCGAGAATTTGCACATCTTCAAGAAGAGTTTCATCATCAAAAATCATCAATTCTTGGTAAGTCCTACCACACTTAAGTTATATAACTTCATTTTCATGTTAGATCACTCATTCTAAGTAAGTTTTTCATTATCTACTCCTTAGAAGCTTCTTAAGTTCGAAATCAACCCAAGAAAGCTTACTAGGGCCGAAAATGGCATCAAACTTCTTTCATTTTTTCTTCAAAACCGAGATCCACAAGAAAAGGTGAGTTCATACCCCCTCTATTTTCGGTTTTCATGTGCTTTATAGGGGAGAATACAAAGTAAAATGTGTAGATCTATGTGTATGTGTATGTTATGTGTGATTTCATGTGTTTATGTGGTAAATATGTAACAAAAAGAATAGAAATTCGAGATCTATAGATCTAAGAGGAAGATAAACATGATCTAAGAAGTATTACACTAAAACAAGTCAATAAAAATTACCCTTTAAGATTAAAATATACATATTTCAACATAAAACCCATTTTGGGCTAAAATTGTCAAACAAACAAAAGTTGGGTTGAAAAATTGCTACTCACGGTTTTCTCAGGGGTTAAAAGGTTCAAAACAGTAAAAATAACTGCTTTTATGAATATCATACTCTTTTAAAGGCTAGAAGTGTAAATTCTAGCTTATTGGGCCAAATTTGGGCTTTTCGGCCCATTAAGCCCTAATTTGCGAAAATCCCAATTTTCAATGGGGTGAAATGATAAACATATCAAACAAGGGGTAAAAAGGGTAAATAAAACTATTTCATGGGTCAAAATGATGTATTTTCCAAACAAGGATAAAAAAATGTAAACTTTTTGGATTTTGGACCAAAATTGTCAAGTTGCAAAAAGTTTGGGCTAAAACCTAAAAACACTTTTCTAGAAGGGCTGAAACTGATAAAAGTAAATTTTGAGCTAAAACCATCACTTAAACAAAGTCTATGGTTAAAAAATGACAAGAAAATGGTTTTTAGGGCCTACAATGTCTTTATATATATATATATATATATATATATATATATATATATATATATATATATATATATATATATATATATATATATAAGGGACTAAAATTGTCATTTTTATCAAAGAATGGCTGAAAAAATCAAACCAATATTTTGAGTCAATTATTTTATTATTAAGATATTTTTGTCAAAAATACCAAACCACAACTTATGAAAAATAACAAGATGAATATACATAAATTTCCAAATATCGTTATAAATGACTGTCTGGTCTCGTATCGATACAAATTTAACAATTGTTCAATTAAACATTTCCGACATCTATACTATACCTAAAACAAGTAAACATTAAATCCTTTAGGCTTGAAAGTTCCAAACATGCTTATTGGGCCTTTGTGACCAATTAACATGATTTTTGGGCCCAAGGGATAATTATAAATGTTATTGAGCCTTCTATGACCCAATTTCATATTTAAGGGACCCTCAATGGCTTTTAAGTGTTATTGGGCCTTAGTGGCCCATTATCATTGCTAGTAAGGTCCAAGTAAATCAAATGAGAAATGGGCCAGCATGTCCTTCGTATAATCAATAGGCATAAATAATACGCAGGAATAGTAGGATCTTGTAATCCTCTTCTCCTCGTTTATTAGGCATATCGTCAATCCAAGTAAACAAATACAGGTCGATAATCAATAGTAATCAAAGTCAATGTGATTTAGTGAGTAATAACGGGTGGCACCAACATATATCGGTCGTAGTATTTAGTTATAATCAAAGTCTCCTGGAGGGAGAGCGAGAGTGTGTGTATAGATGTATACAAGGGTGACTCCCCCACACCTCAGATGTTCGCTACAGTTATACTCGACCAGTCTAGGGTGACAAAATCTTGAGATCAATTACGACGTTCACCAGAGTGCCAAGACAGACGAACTAGTCATTATCATGCATGGTTATAACGACTCACATAAATAAATCCAATACTAATCAAGTAATCAAGATAAATCAAAATCACTCAAGGTTGGGATAACAATACGAACAGTTATACGATATTTTGTTTATTTTCAGAAAACATCGAGTTTTCCGGGGAAGTTCAACATTTTTCACTGGTACTTTTAATATGAAGTTTTTCAACTATACACATTTTGAAATCATCATGCATATATTTACGGATCTTCACACTTTTATACAAACAATGGTTTTTTCAGAAAATATCAGATTTTTTGGGTTGTTTTCTTACAAACTACACAAAACATTTTCATATCAAACCTGCTTATGAACTCACCAGCATTCCATATGTTGACCGTTTTCAAAATAACTTGTATTCTCAGGTAACAGGTAAGCAGAGGAGTAGTACCAAGTTATGTTAGAGTGTTGTGTTTTTAAAAACTATCAAACAATTTATGTTATGGCTTGTAATGATAAAACGATGTACTTCATGTGAACAAAGTCAGTTGTAATATATTGATGCATGGAGATGCTTATGTTATGATTCATGTATATTCATTGTGATGATATTCAAATTTAGTCACGTGAGCCCTCGGATATTTCCGCCGTCTAGTTCGGGGGTGTGATAGGTTGGTATCAGAGCACTCTTTATAGTGAACTAGCATATCTAACCACACATTGATATGCAACTATAAATCAAAGAGGGACAAAACAACTCTAAACAAAACAAATAAAACACAACGATAAAACACCCCAACTTGTACGATATAGGAAAAATAACATAATACCATATCAAATGAGATGATGCTGACATCTCGGTTAAGTCGGGACTGTTCATAGTAGTATTAAGGGGTGAATGTAGCCTGATCAACTACATTTCCTCCGAGGTACAACTATCGCATGCCCCGAGGAAATCGTGAAGGTCAGTAAACCTAAAAACATACCCCTTTATTACCAAGAAGAGAACATCAACTCAGTAATTAAAACATCTTAGGAGTAATAATAGTTTACCTCCTCTCAGTCACTATGGAAGGGGAGCACCGGGGCATTCAGTTTCATCAGGTCTTAGTGGCCTACGGGATGATCGAGGACGAGCACGAGGGAGAAGCACACGACGTTGGACCTGAAGCGGAACAAGACAAATATGTAATAGTTGATTTTGAATATGAAGAGCTTAACCAGGAGTTAGACAAAGAGAAGGGAGTAGAAGAGGCACGTAGTGAACTCCACCTGTCGGAAGCCCCGTCAAATTACCGCACGGTTCAAAGGGTTGATACAAACTATCTACGCTCTCTCGAGGAGACAATTATCAGCCTCAAGCTTCAACTTATTACGGCCAAGGCAAGGGTTGTACGAGCCGAGCAAAGGATAGAGGTAATCACCCAAGAGGCGGATGAACTAGCTGAACTCCTGATACGTGAGCTCGACGATTGAGTGTCGTTGTCATCTCTACCGATGGGACTTGCTTTACTACTTGCTATTATAGGTTTTGCAGTATGTAGAACCAGCTGTACCCCCTTATAGTATTGTGTTTCTATGGATATTATGTCATAATACTGACGAATCGTACATTCTCTTATGAAATGTTTGTCATTTAGGCAAATTTTCCTTTATTAAAAATGGCCATTTCTAGCAGAAATGCTATATGTTTTAATATGAGGTTTTACTTATGTGCACAAACAAACATAAACACACCATAGGGATATAGATCGAAACATTGTGAACCATACGACAAAATACGAAAATTGCAAAGCACCACTGGAAATGGCCGCCGTTAGTTACAGTCCTGCTTATCATCATGCAGTAGAAGATGCCATTCCATAGAAATAACGGGCACACCCGTGAAGCACCACTTTTGTAAATGGACCTTACTACATTCCAAGTTGCTATCAACGCTGTCGTAACTGTTGTTATGGCACAACTCAACACAAAACAACACCAACAGAGGAGGAGATAGCATCGACAACACCAGTCGAAGTAACGACCACGGAAACCAACGAGTGATCGCATATCAAGGCACTCAAAACCCCAAGCTTAAGAGCAGTAAGAAAGCGTCAGGGAATGAGAGAAAAGGACAGTCAACTCAAAGATCCTCGAAGAAACAACATGTTATTACTGTCAATGTTGCTATGACAACTACTACACCAACAGGGAGGACATATGCTGGAAGTCTTCCACAATGCAACAAATGCAGTTTCCATCATCATGGAATATGTAGAGAGATGCATTGTACTAGTTGCAATCGAAAGGGACACACGGTGAAATATTGCAAGACCTATCCTTCCCAAAACCAACAACAAGGAAATAATAACAACAACCGCAATAACAACAACAACAACAGCAACAATAGCGGCAACAATACAGGACCAACCCACACCTGCTATGGATGTGGAAAGACTGAGCATTTCCGTCGAAATTGCCCCAACAACAACAACCTTGGGAATGAAGGAACAGGAAGAGTGCTGACCATGGGTCAGGGAGAAGCGGTTCAGGATCCCGCTGTTGCCACCGGTACGTTTCTCCTAAGCCACACTTATGCATGCATCTTATTTGATACCGGAGCAGAACCTAGCTTCGTGAGTAATAGATTTAAACACTTATTAATACAACAACCCCAGAAGCTTAATGAAACCTTTACATTGGAAATGGCCAACGGGAAAACATAATCCACTAGGGAAATCTATATCGGATGTAACCTAACCTTGGACCAACGTGCCTTTCAAATTAACTTAATGCCTGTTTTCATTAGGAGTTTCGATGTGATTGTTGTCATGGATTGGTTAAGCCCCCACCATGCTGAAATTATGTGTCACGAGAAGTCCGTTCACCTTCACCTTCCAAATCACGAAACCCTAATTATATACGGAGACAAACCCAGCACTAGCCTTCGTCTTATCTCGTGCATTAAGGCACAAAAGTATCTACAAAAGAAAGACTTGACGTTCCTGGCTCATATGTGGATAATTCCAAGGAAGAGATCAATATTTGAGACATTCCAGTACCTTGCAAGTTTCCGGATGTCTTTCCTGAAGATCTTCCGGGGATACCCCCAGAAAGACATGTCGAGTTCCGAATTGATCTTGTACCAGGAGCTACACCCATCACCAAATTGCTCTACAGATTGGCTCCTACGGAGATGCAAGAATTGTCCAGCCAACTCAGTGAGCTTTTGGACAAAGGATTCATCCAACCCAACTTCTCACTCTGGGGAGCTCCAGTTCTTTTTGTTAAGAAAAAATACAGATCCTTTAGGATGTGCATTGACTACAGGGAACTAAATAAGCTCACTCTCGAAAACCGCTATCCACTTCCGCGAATCGACGATCTATTTGACCAACTTCAAGGCGCAAGCTATTTCTCCAAGATAGATCTACGATCTGGATACCATTAACTCAAAGTCCGGGAAGAGGATATCCCCAAAACCGCTTTTTGAACTCGTTATGGACATTATGAATTCATTGCAATGCCCTTTAATCTAACGAATGCCCCTGCCGCATTCATGGACCTAATGAATCGAATCTGCCGACCATTCCTCGACAACTTTGTCATCATTTTCATTGACAACGTTCTAGTTTACTCTCGAAACGAAGAAGAGCACGGTCAACATCTCCGACAAATCCTGGAAACCCTGTGAACTGAGAAACTATACCCAAAACTCTCTAAGTGTGAGTTTTGGCTCCACAGTGTGAACTTTTTGGGTCATGTTGTTAGTCAAGAAGGGATACACGTGGATCCTTCTAAGGTCAAAGCCATTGAAGGATGGGCGACCCCAACGACACCCACATAAATTCGTTAATTTTTGTTTCTAGCAGGCTATTACAGGAGGTTTATCCAAAACTTCTCTAAGACCGCCAAGCCACTTACCATGCTTACACAAAAGGGTGTACCCTTCGAATGGACAGATAAGCAAGAAGTTGCATTCTGAACTCTGAAGCGAGCACTCTGCAGTGCATCGGTACTATCACTACCAGAGGGAACGGAGGACTTCGTAGTTTACTGCGATGCATCGAATCAAGGTTTAGGTTGCGTACTCATGCAACGTGGGAAGGTGATAGCTTATGCATCCCGACAACTAAAGACACACTAGGTGAACTATACGACCCATGATTTAGAATTGGGAGTTGTGATCTTCGCCTTAAAATTTTGGAGGCACTACCTTTATGGTACAAAGTGCACCATTTTTACGAACCACAAGAGTCTCCAACATATCCTAAATCAAAAAGAATTGAACATGAGGCAACGAAGGTGGGTTGAGCTACTAAAACATTATGAGTGTGAACTCAAGTGCCACCCAGGCAAGGCTAACGTGGTAGTTGATGCCTTGAGTCAGAAAGAATACTCAAATCGTCGTGTAGAGACTCTCTCCATAAGCATTCAATCCCACCTGACCTCCCAAATTAGGGCAGCCCAATTCGATGCTATGAAGACGGAAAACAAAGCAAGTGAAGCGTTACGAGGGATGGAAAAGAATTTCAAAGTGAAGGAGGATGGAGTATATTATTTTATGAACCGCATTTGGATCCCTAAACTTGGGGGATTCAGAGAAGTGCTCATGGATGAAGCCCACAAGACACGATACTCCATCCATTCGGGTTTAGATAAAATGTACTTGGATATCAAGCAACATTATTGGTGGCCCAACATGATGGCAGACATTGCCACCTATGTTAGCAAATGCCTTATTTACACTAAAGTGAAGGTGGAATATCAGAAGCCCTCGGGATTATTACAGCAACCAGTAATTCCCGAGTGGAAATAGGAAAGCATTACTATGGACTTTGTGACCATATTACCCAAGTCAATGGATGGATTGGATACCATATGGGTAATAGTCGACAGTTTGACAAAATCCACTCATTTCCTACCAATAAAAGAATCCTACAAGATGGAGAGGTTGACGAGGATATACATCAAGGAAATTGTGAGACTCCATGGAGTGCCAGTATCTATCATCTCAGATAGAGATAGTAGATTCACTTCACGTTTTTGGCAATCACTTCAGAAAGCACTGGGAACACATCTCGACATGAGCACCGCTTATCACCTACAAACGGATGGTCAAAGCAAATGAACCATTCAGACACTTGAGGACATACTTCGCGTATGTGTGATAGACTTTGGAAAGTTGTGGCCCTTAATTGAATTCTCGTACAACAATAGTTATTACTCGAGCATCAAAGTTGCTCCTTTCGAGACGTTGTATCGATGTAAATGTAGATCACCGTTGTGTTGGGCTGAGGTAGGTGACACCCAGCTAGCAAGAGGACTGACATCAAACAATGCGTTAACGGGACCAGGGATCATACGCGAAACAACGAAGAAGAAAATTCAAATCAGAGCTCGACTACAAGCATCACGAGACCGACAGAAGAGCTACGCTGATAAACGGCGAAAGCACTTGGAGTTTCAAGTCGGGGATCGAGTGTTGTTAAAGGTCTCTCCCTGGAAAGGGGTTATTTGTTTTGGAAAATGGGGAAAGCTGAACCCACGATACATTGGACCCTTCGATATCCTTATTGAATCGGTCCAGTGGCTTATAGACTACAACTACCTACCGAGCTCAACAGTGTACACCCCATGTTCCATGTTTCCAATTTGAAAAAGTGTTTATCCGACGAAACCCTCGTCATTCCACTTGAAGAAATAGAAATCAACGAGAATCTCATGTTTGTCGAAGAACCAGTCGAAATCATGGATAGGGAGGTGAAGCATACCAAGCAAAGTTGCATTCCGATTGTGAAGGTACAGTGGAACGCGAAGCATGGGCCAGAATTCACATGGGAACGCGAAGACCAGATGAAGCAGAAGTACCCTCACCTATTCTCTTATTCTTGAGCCTAGCTTTAGAAAGAATTTTGGGACGAAATTCCCTCTAATGGGGGGATGATGTCACAACTACGAATTCTATGACATGTAACAACAAGAATGATAACATTTGTGAACCAAAAATGTGAAAGCATGTATGATGCTTATTCAATAACAACAAAATTTCCATCAAACGCTGTATGTAAGCACTTTAAATAGTCAACAAAGGATAGGAAACCCTAGAAATTCCAGTTTAAGTCCATTATGCACTATGATTTCCTTATTGGTCCTAATGGGCCAATAAGCTTCCAATTTGACTATTTTAAGCTTAGAACTCTTAAATGGGCTCTAATTGGAACCACTTTCTATTATTTTAACATTTTGGGACATATTGGGCCTAGAATGAAATAAAATACCCTAATGGACCTTATTCGGTCATAACTAACCTAATTAGCCCTAATGGGCCATAGAAACTCATACCTGATGAACATTGGGCCGTGAATTTCTCAAAAATGGCCAATAGGCCGAAAATCATCAAAAATTGGACCATGATATGGACTTAAGTACCAAAGGCCCAAATCCTTCTTCTTTCTTCCCTTTTTCTCGGCCCAAGAGGAAAACAAAAAAAA